GTGTCTTGAAAGTTGCCTGTGTCAGGTTGGGGCATTGTGGCTGAGTACTGGTCAGCACCTGAGTGTGATGCCCACACAACAGCATTGCTGAGTACATTGTGCTCACCATGACAGCAGCCAACTCTCATGAACTGAAACAGTGCAGCGCTTTAGGTCCTGATTCTCCTGCCTGCTTTCACACTGATGTCAATTTCCTTCCCTCTACACAAACTTGCTGGCTTCAGGTCAGTCTAGTGGGCGCTTGCCTTGGAGGTTGAGCAGTGCCTTTCTCAGCCCTGCATTTCTTCAAGGCCAGTCTCCAACTCTTATTCTCAAAGTCAGCTGTGAGGTCCAGGACTGACTAGACCATTTTGTGACACCTACAGCTCAGTTCTTTTTAGGCTCCAGGGCACAGGGCGCAGGGGCAGGGGCATGGGCGTAGAGTTGCCAAGCAAGTTGACTGAATGGCTTGATGGTTGGGGCCAAGCTTTGAAGCCAGCTGTACAAGCTGGTTTGGAGGTTGCTGGCTTGCAGCCTGCCAGGTTAGCTTTGCCAGTGCCCCTGTTGGTGGGCACAGACTGCAGTGGCGTTGACGCGCCGATCCATGCCTTGCAAGGCTTGGGTGTGCCGCATTGCCACTTGTGGGGAAGCGAGCCTTGGGAACCTGCTCGCCAAATGATTGAAGCCAACACAAAACCACACCATGCTTTGTTTCACAGTGTGCTCAATGGTGACTGGGCTCCATATGTTCACTTGTACATCTCAGGCTTCAGCTGCAAACCATTTTCGATGTTACACCACAAAACCAAACTCTTGAAAGAAGCAGACGCTGCTATCTTTTTTGGAGTTGTTGAGCGGCTGTCAAAGGTGCGCCCAGCAGCATTTGTATTAGAGAATGTCCATGGGATTGCCCGGGTGAAGACCCAGGTTTTGGATAGATTGAGGCAGCAGGGCTACCATGTGGTCACGCTTTCTATGGGCCCAACTGACCTTGGAATCCCTGTATCACGCCCGCGATACTATTTCTTGGGCGTCCGCACAGATGTGGCAGTGGCCTCTGAAGCAGTCTTGCAGGGCAAGGCATCGATGGCTTGGAAGCATGTGAAAAATTCAGGGCCCAGGGCACAGGGTCTCATGAGCCTGGGCGATGTCTTGCTTCCAAGAGTGCATCCTGCAGTCAAGAGCCATCAGGCAATGAGAAAACAAAGGTGGAGGTCAGCTGCAGCAGCAGGTTTCCCCAACACATCGAAAGGGTGCAAGTGGAAGGAGCTGC